CTGCCGTTAAAGCTCAGTAATATCCTCTAAAACCCAACACTCCCTGACAGATTCTGATACAATCAAAATTACCGTGAAACGTAATTATAACCATCTACAGCGTTTCTGAAAAACTTTCTTTTCTTTTTTTTTTTTAAAACTTGAGTTCTGCCATAATGCGGCCCCGCTGAAACACCGGGGCCAAACGGTCGAGTCCAAGTTGCATAAATTTGTCGTAATTTCAGGATGATCTTTGCCAACTTTCAACAGCTCCTTAATTAATCCTCAACTAGCACACATAATTAATTGATTTACATGCGCACCCCCCACAGCAGGCTCCAGCAGGGCCTTCCTGCTGGGGAAGTTAATTGTCAGGTTGGACCGTTCGCCTCCAGAGACTTTGTGCTGTGAATTACAATGAGTTGAACTCTTTTTCTCCTTTCACTGTTGCCTGTTAATAATCAAATTACACTTCCAAGCACTTTATTTAAAAAAACAAAACAAACAAACAAAAAAAAACAGATGCTATAAGTCAGTTTTCAATCAGTCCTAAATAAATAGTTCAAATATTTTTAATTGGGGTTTTTGTGGAGTGTTTATGAGGAGTCAGTATCTTATTTACAGTGGGAAAAAAAACAACTCACATCTTTACATCTGAATTTTAAAAAACCAATACAGAAAAAACAAACTTTAACAGTTCCTGAAATGGGAATACAGTAGTTGTCATCTTGCTTGGGAAGTTGTCGGTTCGATTTCAACTTCCTCTGCCTCAAAATGCTGACGTGCCCCTGGGCGAGACACTTAAGACACCTGCTCACATTTGCAAGTGTGACTTAGTGAATGTGTTCCTCCAAGTGTTGGAAAAAACATTTTATTTTTAAATGTGAGCAACATCATTGCTATTCCTGCTTCAGTCTTTTACTTTTACATCAGCTAGCTTGGTTAGCATTACTTTACAAGCTATCCAAATTATTCCCAGTCATTGCTGTGACCATAACCCAATTGTAACATGGAAATTAAAATGTTTTGCTAATGAAATGATTATTATTAATCTTTGCTGTTGTTAATTCAAATGAATTTAAATGATTTATTACAAGAACAGCATGTTTTCTATTGCTGTTGAGAGAAACTGAATGCCCTGCTGTGCAGTAATGTTTTGTTACATATTTTAGTGATTGACCTTTTTTTATTTAGTAGATTTTGTCCAATAAAACATGTCGGATATGATGTCAGGTGATAAAACGAGTTCCAGGTTGCCCTTCTCGATCTACACTCTTGTCCTCATAAAACTAAATTTGACTTTTTCCCCCCAGGCTAAGGAACCGGTGAGTGGTCTGAGTGTATTTCCTTCTCCCAGCATTCCCCCTGAGTTTTGGAGACGGGACAGAAAAGCGAATATCACAGCCAAGCCACAACGCGTCATCCTACAGCCTGTTTGTCTCTAGTTTATTTTGCTGCTTTATTTCAAGCCATGTTCACTTCAAAGTCATCTGAGACCTTGAGAAAGAACATAGCCTACATGCGTTTTATTTTTTCTGTCAAAATGTAGAATTTCACCCCCCTCCCCCAGAAGAATGGATTAAACAGACACTTTCTTCTTTATTAAAGACAGCTTTGCTTATCGCATCACTTTGAAAAGCTAAATAATTTAAGTGGCTCATTATCAGCTCCTAGCCTCGGAAGAACAGACACCTCAAACTGCACCGAGGCAGCTGGGTGTCTCCGCTTTTCACTGTCTTCTCAGCACAATAGCTAAATTTGACTTTCTACTAATTAATGAGATGAGTTCATTACTGCTCTTGAGGTTAATGTGTTGTCCTACAGCAGATTAGTGAAGGGATTCTGGTGCTGCTGGAGCATCCTAATTAAATCACAGTGGGTGCTACCTGCTTGAATAGATGAAAATAATGAAAGTCGTCACTCTTCTCAGCAGCAACTTGATTACCGTGTCCTATCTCTGCTCATAAAAGGCTCTACAGTCACCTGCAACAGAACACAGTGAAATTAATTCAATTATACCAAGCAATAAAAGAGTGAAAGCGGTTTATTTGGAAGTTTGATTTGGATGTACTTGGTCCTGATCATAGAAATTGGTGGGCCAAAAGTGCCATCTAAAGGACAGCAGCGGAAGAGCAGCCAAACGGTGCCATAGCTACAATTTTCTGCTAAAATACGGTACTCTAAAATACAGTGAGTTTAATAAAAGTTCCACTGAACACCTTTATTAGTTGTGTTAGTTGTTGTATTTGGATGTCATTTTGCATGTATGGAGATAGATCAGGGCCATAAAGTTCTTTCAGTTGGAGTTTGGAGAGGTAAATTAGGCTTGATATTTTTTAAATTTTTACTTCTCATTTTGAATATAACTTAGATATTTCTGTTGCCAGAAGATAAATCTGCCTCAAAATCTCATCTGACCAAAATTGAGAGGCAATTTGTCTCTAATGTGGAGAGCACATTAGCATCTTTTTTCTGACTATTTTAATAACACACATTTTAGTTTTGAATTTATTATATTTCATTTAAAATGTTCTGTGGTAAAGCTGTTTCCATTGCTAAGAAATGAATCTGCTTGAGTTGTTTTGCAACTTGTAATTGCAAAACAACACCTTAAAAGCTGTCTATTTCATAAAATATTAGTTTTTGCAGTTTTATTCCCATGAAAGTATACGTCATTCTTTTTATTTTAGTTGTTTTATTATTAATAGTATTGGATGTTTTCATTCTGCTTAAAATTATCATTCAGCTTCACAAGTTCCCTCAACTTGATGGACAGGGTTAGCATCTAGGAAAATACAGAAACATCACATTACATTACTCACTTTAAGACTACTTTCCATTTTATGTATTTTTGTTTCTATTATTAGATAAATTTACTAAAAATAAATTTCATCGACATTACCAACTCCCTTAAATGTACAGGCTGCTTTAATGTGTTTTAGCTAACTACTTTTTTATGATATCTTTCAGCTTCTATTGATTTATCTTCAAAAAAATTTAATTGTTTTTTTCTGTCTGAGTGGAGAGATTTCAGATTTTTCATTACTAAGACATAGATTTGCTTAAGTATTAGTAAGTTTCCTTTGTATTTGTAGCGTTAGCATCTTTAACAACTTGGAGATCACCTGTTAGCTTGTTTCGTTTTATTTAAAAATGCCATTCTGCTTTTTAGCAGAACCTACTATTTATTTATGACAGACTGTTATGTACTTGTATTTGAATGATTCACACTTTATTTTATTTTTGTTCCAAACATTAAACTGTTTGACCTTTTTACTTTTGATTTGCAAACAGCTTTTATTCCCATGCTAGCATGCTGACTGATAGCACGTTCTATGCTACATGTTAGCATTACTTCATTTAAGTTTGTGTGTTAGGAACACTTTTCACTTTTCATGAAAGACTTTTCCTTTTGCTCCTGACCTCAGCATGTTTAAGGTGAATCCTAGCTACACCAAACAGCTTCAGCCATCAGTCATTTTACACATCCAGCCTTGTTTTTGCATGTCAAATTTCATCAAATGTATTTGGCAGCTATTATTTGTTTACATGCCCGATTCCATTAGTAATGCTATTGTTCAGAGTGATTTCTTCATTTAGCCTGCCTGGGTGTACAAATCCAAATATCATTTTTGTCTTTAGTCTTCTTGTCTTTGCCTCGCATTAATCCTCCCCGTCTCAAAGCTGTCCTCATCATTTTCTTGGTGATGATTCCAAAATTATCCTAATCCCACCCACCCGCTTTGATGCTCAAGCCTACACTCGTCCTCGGCTTTTGTGGTATTAAGTGGATCATATTAAGAGTAAAATATTACACTTTGGTACAAAAAAAAACAACACAGAGTGACTTTGTGATTACGATGCAGAGGCTGTTGTGTTTGAGACAAGAATTATGAAGAAATATCGGAGGATTTTGAGGCTAGCGCCAAACTTTTTCCCTCCTATAATCTGTGACGAGGGACACAAGAGTCACTGAATGCTAAAACCAAATAAAGTTGTCAGTAATGTCCTTTTACAGAAGGCGCATGGATGTGAACAAAGCTTAGTGTATTGAGGAACATTTTCCATCATAATTACTGTTTCATTAAAAACTCATCTTGTTTGGGATTAGATCCACTCACTCAAGCTAGACTGACGCAACAGGGCACGACTCTCTCCTGCTGTTGACTTTGAGTTCCCAAGTCTTCAAACCACAAGAAACATTTTCACTGTTACAATCACAACAGAATGATTTATACATATAAGAATCTGATAATAAATTCTGCAATTTCTGCCTCCACAAATCCTTAAGAAGTCCTGCTTACAATTTGTAATCCTGAGTCAAAGTAAAACCATCATAAAATTCACAAGGCCTGTGAACATGAACTGCAGCAACTGAAAATATAACAAATGTTGCCATTTTGGTTCCCAAATCGAACCGAATTTACCAAACTATCAGATGGGAACACACTATGAAATGGAATTGCTTGGCCATAGAGACCATTTTTAAATTAAGAGTAAGGCTGTTTTGCTGCACTCATGAGAAATGAACATTATGAATGAACTTCAGATGTTGAAGCAACTAGGAAATTGAAGCTTAGGCTGAACTGGGTCTTACAGCGACCCCAACTGTACCACCGAATTAGTTACAAAGTGGCTTAAGGACAACAAAGTGGATATTTTGAAGCTGCCACCAAAAAATACTGATCTCAGGCCCATAAAAAATGAGTGTGAGCAAGGCAGCTGACAAAACGACTAATTTACACCAGTTTCATCACAAAGAATGGGCCAAAAGTCCATCAAACTCTTTTGAGAAGCTTCTGAAAGGAAACTCAAAATATTTGACCCAAGTCACGCAGTTCAAAACACAAAATTCTAAATTTGAAGAAATTAAAACGACTTATCCTAACCAACCTAAAAGAGAAAAAACATTTAGTCTAACCAAACGTTTCTTTTCATACATCCGGTTTCGTCTGTAGACCCACATGTGTTGATATCAAACTTTCACTGCAAAACATGACAGACGAAACAGAAATCTCTGATCTGGTTCCACCTCATTTAATTTTCAATCCCAAGTGTAAGATCAGTCGATACAACCTCTCAACACAACAGCAGAGTCGAAGAGGAAGAAAATGAAATGCATTGTTGCTCTCGCTTTAATTCATTGTCCAAAAAGACAAAATAGTCTCCAGCCCTTTCCCCACATGGCCTCGAGGTCCGGGCTGATGCACAGTACTACACCCCTCTCTGAATGTTTCAACTCAGTCATTTACTCCTGTCACACTGCAGCCTGTGACGCCGCCAGCCATCCATCGGCAATGTCACCCGAGCACCTGCAGGATTCCGATACGTCAAACACTAAAGGTTGGCGTAGTATCGATCCCTGTTCATGTATTCCCTGTAGGCGAACTTGGCGTCCTTATTGCCGTGTGGGATCCTTCCAAAAGGGGCGTGATCCTTGAAGCACGAGTCAAAGACCTCGTCGACGATCTTTTGTGCTTCCTCTTGGCTGACTTTTCGCACAGCCAGGATGGAGCGTACAGCGCGATCCCGGACACACTGCTGTTTGAAGAGAACGAAACGGGTTCCATTAAAGACATGGAGCTGGTTGTTTAAACGGCATGTGTGAGACGTTTACGCCCGGCTCATGTACCTGGTGATGTGCCTTTAGGCCAAAGTTGAATCTGGAAACTTCATTGGTGAAGGAGCAATCCCCACTGAGGTTCGCTGCTCGAATCTAAAGGACACAAGAATGTCCAGTATAACACTGTTCAGCTTTGAAGATGTTCCAAAAACAGGAAAAAGATCAGTACGTCACTATGGCTACACCTTCTCACTCAGCAGATGTCAATGGAGCAACAATCAGCAATAAATAAAAATAAATTCTAAGATTAAAAAAAAATAATAAAAAATACATTCCATAATTCTAAATGCCATTTTAATGCCACTGCGCAAAATGGGAGAAGCTACTAATATGATCATGAAATGTTTTATTTGTTCTCTCTAACTTTCCCAATTCTACTCAAAATATATGTGACCCCAGATTAATGAAAGCAAGGAATATTAGAGAAATACTAATAATCCAAATCAGAAAATAATTGCAGAGATTAAAAGAAAAAAAAATTATTATTGTTGTTATTATATGTTTAGCAATTCCATTTTTGCTGTGATACCACCTGGACATGTTCTGTGTCTTGACATGTATTTCTGTTGTTGTTCATTCTCTTATCTAATTGGATGTTTATTATTTTGCAGATTATTACCTCGGTTTGTTAGGCTGTAAAGTTTGTTTTGTATGGACTAATTGTTGAACTAATTAAAACAAACAAACAAACAAAAACAAACAAACAAAGAGAAACTGGGGCAAAATCCCTTGTCAGAGCTGATTTTTGGAAATGTCTGTAAGAACAGAGACAACAGACGAAAAAAAAATGTTCCAAGAAGCCAAATACTTATTCTCCCAATTTCTTAACAGAACGGCGGTATTAAAAACTATTCCTCACCTCAGAACAAGCTAGATGTCTGAAGTTGTTGAACCAGTCCACGTGGGCCCGGCAGTGGTCGAACGCATGGATGAGCTCATGGGTGACCACTCGGTTCATGTGAGCCTGCTGGTGGATGTTGTTCTGACACAAAACAATCTGGAGGAGAGGAAACGCGACTCAGATGAAAAGATGAAACCCTGAAACGGTAAGACCATCTCGAGAACCCGTCTCATTTCCTACCTGAGAGGTGGCAGCGTCAAAGCCACCGCTGACCGTCCCATCGCAGTCCTCACAGGAGAAATGTCTGTCTTTATACACTTTGCTGAACACATGATGAAAAACAAAGGGAGGAGTGTGTGATACGCTGCAGGTAGGAGTGGAAACCACTGCAGCCAGTTAGCAGTTTCAGTAAATCACAGTGACCAGGATGAGGGCTAGAGGATGATTGTATCACAGACAGATTGGATCTCTACAGGCCGTGTTCCACTGGTGGTGACACTATCATGATTTGGGCCTGCTTGGTTGCATCACAGAAACATGTAGAATCATGAAAACATAGAAGTGGTAGTATTATTCTTTGGACGGATCGGTCCAAAAATATTGATAATATCAATACTAAGTCATTATCGGTATGAGATCAATACTAACGTGGTTAGATTGATACTTTAGTTTCGGATTTCCTTATGAAATTTTATTTTATTTTTGTGTTGTAGTTTCTCATTTCTACCGTAAAAAAAAAAAAAATATATATATATATATATA